AATAGGGATTGGCTGGTCCAAAAGGAGATAGAGGACTACCTGGATTGCCTGGCAGTCTTGGTCTTCCTGGAGAGATGGGTCTTCCTGGACTGCCAGGATATGGACCACAAGGAATGAGAGGTTTCAAAGGCTCTAAAGGAATACCTGGTCCACCTGGATTAGCTGGAGAAGCTGGTTTGTAACTACCTATTTTACTGTGTTTTACCTATGTTAAAGAGTACTTGATTGAAACTGCAGAGATAGATTGAAGTCAAAGGCATCATTTATGAAACAGGAAGTTTTTCTCGTGATGAGATTTCCACAGCATTGTTCCAACTTTAATCCCACTGGAGATAATAGCAAAAGTCTTTGGGTCATAAGATAACTGAGGTTGGAAAGGACCCTGTGAGGTCTTTACTCCAAGCTCCTGCTCATAGCAGGGTCAGCTATGAGATCAGACCAAGTTACTCAAGGCATTACCCAGCTGGGCCTTGAAAACCTCCAAGGACAAAGACAGCGCATCATCTCTGGGCAACCTGTTGCAGTGCTTGACTGTCCTCATCACGAAAAAAAAAAAGTCTTTAAATATGCATCCAGTCATCATCATTAGTGTGAACTAAGTCATCAGGGGAAAATATGAAGGACTTAATAATTTTTGAGTGCTGAAAACACACTAGTGTATGTATTTATAGGCAAGCATAATCTTGAAGAACTCAAAGTTGGACAGTAGATACAATCAAGGTTTCTTAAAGAGAATACCCATTAAATCTTTATGAAATGGAGTTGCAGATTAAGCATTTCTCAATTGCATCAAAAATGTTCTTCCTTTTCTGGGTCTCCACTAGACTGCAGGAGGGCTGAGAGGAAGACTGCAAGTGGGCTTGGTGTCAATAAAATTCTTTTGCTTTATGAAGCCAGGATCTGATGGCTTTTCAAAGTCTTTTGGAGTTTCAGAAATATGGAAACTGTAGAGGACTGCATTTTTAACCGAGTAGATTGATCACTAGTATTTTGAAATGCTTAAGATTACATATTGCCAAACTACAAGCCTTTGTAATCTTTGATTATGTGTTTGCTGAAGGTGTGAAAGGAGAGACCAGTAGGGTAACTCCATTACCTGCGTTGCCAGGACCTCAAGGACCAGATGGTTTCCCTGGACCTCCTGGAGTGCCTGGTGAGTACATCTGCACTAAGTACAGTAAAAATCAGAGATAATCTGAGTGGGATTTCTCTCCCAGCTCTGGCCAGATAAAACTGCAGGGTTAGTTTGAAATAACTATAAAAAGGATTTCTGTGGTACAGAAACTGGAATTGGCTGCAACATTCCCTTTCAAGAAAACTAGGGGAAGTGGATGTGAATAGAACGGCACACAGGGCCATGTCCATGGTGTGCTGGATGGCAGAGATTCCAAGCAGTCCTATGCTATGGCTTGGTTCCTTCAAGAACTAGAAACATCTGGTGCATATGCTGCAGCTTCTATATCCAGAAAGGCATCTCTGGCATAATTTTGACAAAAGTGTATGCTAAATTATGCTGGGACTCCTGCAACCTTCAAAACAGAAGGAAAAAAATTCAGTTAAAGTATTCTTAATCTTCCTGAATTCCTTGGCCCTTCTTATGCTTTGCAGGGGCACAGTCAAAAGGTAACTGTATTAAGTTTCCTGGTTCCTTTTTGACATGACTGTTACTAACCATTGTTCTAAGATATCAAGAACCTGCGTTTCCTTTTTTTGGGTGGTTTTGGGCTTGGGTTCTAGGTGGGATTTTTTTGGTTGCTAGTGTTTTAAATTTTGCAGAATTTTTGACTGCACTGAGGGACAGTAAGTGACATTCAGGCTAACTGTAGGACATCTTTGCTTTGGTTTTGTAGAACAGTAGTCCTTAAAGCTGCCCTGAACAGCATAGGAAAATTTCTTGGCAGCCTTATGTTAGCTTCTGTTCTTAGAGTTGCTTTTGTTCCGAACCTCACCCTTGTAATGTGTGTTTGTATTTTCTCAACAAACAGAAGATTTGTATCTGCACGTAATTGTTCCTGGAAGTCTGGAATTTGCATAAAAAGTTGACTCACAGACTCATGCCTGGTTTGATACTGTGAACACAATTAGCATTTTAACTGTGAAAACCTTCTGTGGAGGAGAAATATCATCTAAGTTCTAATATAATCTACAGTGGTGTCCCAATTAATAATGATAAACTATAAAACACCTAGTCTTACAAGTTGATGTTCTGTGGTAAGATACATCACAGTTCACTTATTTTCTTTGTACAGGTAGGGTTGGAGCAAGAGGTCAGCCAGGTGATTCAGGACATCCAGGGCCAACAGGTGACACAGGCTTTCCAGGGCTTGGGTTTCCTGGAAACCCAGGTCCAAAAGGTAAAATACTCTCTTTGATCTTCTTCTTCAAAAAAAGCAAAACAAAAAAAAAATCTACAATTTTTTTTTTAGTCCACATTAAAAACAATCAACAAGTTTAAAAAAAAAAATAAATCAATGAACATTAGTCAGACAGGCAAGTTTTTTTAGCACTCTTGAAATATTCTGAAGTATTTCAGAGAATCAAGTATCAAAGCTGGCAGTAGGAAAATATTTTAAAAGACATTGATGCTTACTGGAATACTGCCCAAACAGGTGCAGCTCATTTGAGTGCCACACTTACTTCAGATGGATTCTCTTTACCTGGATATGTGTTACAGAGACAGAGCTGTACAAGTGTCAGTACTTTCTTTTTATTCAGTTTTGGTTATGTACACTGCAATACCTGCTATAATGTGCAGGTAATAGAAAGTGTTTTGAATACTGCAAATTGGTCATTCTTCATGCAAAGTCATACACCCCTTTGGACACTAGAAATATTAAGAAATTCTCATAACCCTGCCAGGACAAGGGGAAAAAAGAGGAAGAAAAAAAAAAAAAGAGGGAAAAAAAAAAAAGCAAGCTCTGATACTAAAACTACTACCAAGCTGCTTGTTAAAAAAACAGCAGGGAAGTGACATCAGAATAGCTTCACTGTAAAAAAAATTCCCATGTTAATTAACGGAGTTGAAGTAAATAATCAAGCAGTGTTACAGTCAATGTTAAGTGAATATGTAAGGAGCAAGATACAGTGTGTCACATCAACTCTGAAATCAAGATGCTGTCTTCAGCTCCTGTAAGTTACTTTAGTGTCAGAGGCTCATAACTGCATCCATACAAATCCCCATTTGTAAAATAAGGCGATAACCATAGCATCTGTACTGTCATTTAATTCCTTTTGCAGGAGATAAAGGGCTTGCAGGAGGCAGAGGGTCACCTGGCTGTGAAGGAAAGATTGGAGATCCAGGTCGAGCTGGAAACGTAGGACAACCGGGAGAAAAGGTTTGATTAGAAATACAGCACAGACTTTTCCATAGGTCCCATTCATTAAATGTGACACCAAGCAAATAAATTAAGAAGTGTAAGGAATATAGGAGTTCCTATATTTCCTGACCGGTGATGCACAATCTATGAAATTAAATTCTTTATATATAAATAGGCTCAAGCTGAAATTTTAAATTCAGATACAGGATTTCAGAACTCCTAAGTGTTTGGGATGTTTTGGTACTTCAGTTTTCAGAGCACAAGGAGGATATTGCATTGCTTACAGCAAAAAATGAAGGCCACTGCTTCTGAAAGGATGGCTATTCAGAAATTGCAATTAAGCACATATTTGATGGAGGTCAGTGACAAATAAGTATGCATTTAATTTAAGCAAGTGCTCTGTTGAATTGAAGCATAAGGGAAGTAGGTTGGAGGTAATACTGCAGCCATTCTTGCTGATTAACAGCAGTGAATCTACTGATGGCATATGTAGAATTCTTGACTACTCTGTAATCAGGATTCAAATTTGAACAAAGTAGTAACACCTAAATGTTTTGAAAGTTGCATTTCTTTTTTGGTGTGCTCATATGTCATTCTTTTGTGTGTCTTTTGACATGACGAAGTGTGGGGTTTGAGGTTGTGGATTTTTATTTTTTCTTTAATTATTATTTAAGCTATGTTTGATGCCACAGAACAGCTGGACATGGAGTGGCTTTTGTGGTCCAAGTATATCATCAGTGACTCATATAAGCTCAGCTCTACTGGCATGCTTTATGAACATAAGGATTTGCTGGTACTCAAAACAACCAGCAGTTCAGTCAGCTGAAAAAAAAGAAAAACATAATTCAAACTTGCCATTCAGGGAATAGGCTTGGGACATATGGGATAAAACCAGCCTTCACGGAAAACAATGTTCAGAAGAATGGTTTAAAAAAACCCAATAAATGACTTTTGAGTATTCCAAGACATGTCTGCGTGCTGACCTTGAGTATTTAAATAAATATTTTGATAAAAATATGACTATCATATAAAAATAAAGGAAAAGTTGTATTTGCACAACCTTCAACCAAATTTTCAGATACAGGTCCAAAGCTTTTCACAGTTACAGCAATCATCATAATGCAGTAAAGGCCAAACGGAGGCAAGTGTCTTGCATTGCTCAGTAGCAATTTCTTAAAGTTAGGAGACAGACTTCAAAAGCTGTCCAGACAAATTACTCCTCTGGTATGGTCAACAAGGAACTTCCAGCAGTCTGCTGAATTGAAGCCATTAAAAATTATAGTGTGAAAGATCCCCAGGGAATGGAGAAAATTATCCTAATAAAAGAAGTTAATTGATCATACATTGGAGAAAATATTTTGGCAGATTTGGATTGTTTACATTTCTCTCTGTGTTGCAGGGTGACCCAGGCATGGTAATTCCTGGAGAGCCAGGTAGACTGGGTTCACCAGGACGTCGTGGCATGCCTGGCTCAAAAGGTGATACTGGATTTCCAGGGCATCCAGGCCTACCAGGGCGTGCTGGACATGATGGTGATGATGGCCTAAGAGGTACTGTTGTCAAACAAGCTCAAGGAGTACAGCAAGTTATTTTAAGGAAAGAGAATCCAAGCCAAACAACGCTCGCTCAAAGCCTGAAAATCTACTTAAATCATTGTGAATCCAGTCTCCTTTCTTTTAGGAGATCGTGGCTCACCTGGAGTTCCTGGAGATCCAGGTTTTCCAGGGAAACCTGCTGAATGTCTTATTGGCCTGCCAGGTTTGCCGGGTGGCCAGGGAGCTTCAGGCCCACCAGGTAGGACCTTCTGAATCAAATGTGCCATTTGGCTGGGTCGGTCTTTTTTTCTGTTTTGTTTCTGCCTTCCAACGGCCTGAGGGAGCTGAAGTTGTTTCTGGATATTGGTTAGGATAGTATGCGAGAAAATGTGAGCCTATTTAAAAGATGCACTTTCTGCAGATGGGAGGAAACACATGCACTGATTAAGATAAATTAAGATTCAGATTCCATTGTACAGTGTAAAGAGTAATCACAAACTGGCCCAAATTCCTCAGGAAAAAGGATATTTCGGTCATGTCTCCTGTATGGGGCTGAACTTAGATTCCTTGATGCAATGTGACTGATAAAGAAACAAAACAGAGGAAGAACTCAGCTAGGTAGAAAACCAGTTTAGGGTCTCAAAAGTACCTGCATATACTGCGTATGATTTTCGTTCTAAACCAAACACCAGTCAGGTACCCAGCACAGTCCTTCTCCTATATATGATGTCAAAAGGATGGATTTATTAATTTATTTATTTTCTTAGAGATTGACTGCAGAATTGGTGGGTTTTTATGTTTGGGTTTTTCTTCTTTTTCTGAGAAAGAACAGAATTGTCTATTCTCACGTTTTGGTGTGTGTTGTTCCGCCGCCCCCCCGCCCCCCGCCTTAAAAAAAACAAAACAAAACAAAAACAAAACAAAACAAAAAAACCCAACACAACTCATTTTAAGATTTCCTGAACATGTATGTTGTCTTACAGCCCTAATGTTTAGCCATCAAACATGCAGAGTTCAAGGAGTTTCACGCTCCTATTGGCAAGATAGAGATGAAGGTTTATTTTCCAGAAAGATGTACCATACTACACTGTCATGCATTTTTCTTAGGAAGAAGAGGTTCACAAGGTTCAAAAGGAAAACTAGGCCCTACTGGTTTGAGTATTCCAGGAATCTACGGAAAGCCTGGGGAACCTGGATTAATAGGTCTTCAGGGAAATATAGGATTACCTGGTCCTGAGGGACAGTCTGGAAGGCCAGGAATCTCTGGTATGCCAGGTAAGGATTCCCCAAACACTTGTTTTGAACTAGAAATTAAGTCAGTCTCTGCAAAAAGGTGTTAGTTACGCTTTTCCAAAGTGAAGATGCTGAAACATTTTTGCCTCGATAGCTTTCATTTATCATTGAGATCTATATGGAAAACAAATAAATCATCACTCCCTAAATGACAAGCATAGCTTGAAGCTGTTATGACACAGTACTGAATTTACACTAACAGTCTTCTGAGAACAGAGCGCTACCTTACTTTTTTTTTTTGTCAGTAATGTCCTTGCAGTAGGACATGAACTAGTTAACATTCAAAGCAGATCTACAGCATAATGGAAGTGCAAAGTGTTTGGTTCTTATTCAGCATTCCTTTTCAAACAGATAGCTTGTTAATGCTATCTTCTTTTTCTTAAAAAGCAAGTTCAGATCCTGAGTCTGACAGAGTTGAGTCAGATCAAACTCTGTCATGTTAACCAGAGCTAACTTTAAATAAGGTAGGTAACTCATCTTTTTTTTTTTTTATTCAGAAATGTATTCAAACTTGATTTATAGAGTAAAATAAACCAGTTATGCAATGCTTCTTATCTCTAACAAAGATTTTTTGTTACTATCCAATCCTTTATTATTCTGCGAGAAGGAAATGGTACATACCTTTTTATATATACAACCTATAAAACTAATGATAAACATATAGTACTTGACTCAGTTATGCAAACCTAGACTTCTGATGTCATTTGAGGGGAATTGTCATGTCCCAGCTGGCCTTCACCTCCTGAGCCAGAAAGGAATGTTTTTCCCATACATATCATGACAGATCTCCCATCCCTGTGTGGATATCTCGGATACATTATCCTCACTGTTAGTTATTTCATTCATTGCTAGAAGCTGTTGCAGCTACTGATCTAGGTAGTTTGGGGGTTGCTCTGTGTGTGCGTGCTGTTCCTGTGCCTAAAGGATGGAAAACTGGCTTGGACAGTGTGCTATAGAAATAGAGAAAAATATAGAATAAGCAATTAAACACTTAAACAGGCATATGTGTAGTTTTCTGAAGTAATGTTCTGTTTCACTGATCAAATACTAACAAATATGTTCCTATTGCTTCCATTCCACAGGTTCAAGGGGAGAGCCAGGTATAATGGGCCTGTTAGGAATTCCTGGACCTCCTGGCATGATTGGAAGACCAGGCAACCCGGGTATCAGAGGCAAGTGGCCATAGTATCTGCCTTCATTGTTACTTAGAATATAGGAACTTCCATGCTAAAGTTAGTCTTGTGACCCATCTTGATATATATTATCATTCCTGAGTACATGTGTCATACCGGAATTTCTTTGAGTCTTGGTAAATCTTTGCCTTCTGTATATGTGCAGTCTACAGATGGAATTACATTATTTTATTTTTTTTAGCAGTTTTGAATTGCCATATATACTATTTCATTGGTATTGTGTAAAAGTGACTGCCAATTTGCTAAATAAAAAGCAGAGAGCTTTTTTGCTCTATTTTTTTTGTCATCACTTCCGTGTTCCAAATGTTGTCATTATATCTATTCAATAGATATAAGATTATATGTATATTCAATATAAGAAATAATTACCATCTCTTGCTGTAATCTGTGCTCATAGATGTTTTATTGATGATTGGAGTAATTAAGAAGCTAGTGTAGGTTGTTAATTTTGAATGTGTATTTACCTATGTAGTTGCACTTAAAGACAGGAGTGTCATTGCTTCCTTATGCTATTGCCTACTCAGGTTTCTTCAGAAAATTTCATTATATTTTCTTGCAGGTTCTTCTGGCTTCCCAGGACCAAAGGGAAGAAAAGGGTTTCTTGGAGCAAAAGGCGAACCAGGTGATAAAGGTTTTCCTGGACCATCTGAGACCTTGGTTGGTATTGGGAATAAAGGAGAACGAGGCTTAAAAGGTACACATTCATTGTTCTGTCATTCAAAACTAGTTAGGGTTGTCATCTATGTTGCAGGTCCAGTGGACTCTAAAACATGCAAGAAATGGACTCTACTGCTGAGAGTATTCACATGGCTTTGAAATAGTTATTGCTGAACACTGTAATTGCATTTTTATTTATGGGATAGTTGGATATTACACTATTTATTTCCATTTTAACAAGACCATATTCCTTAAAAAAACTCTTATTGTAATGTTAAACCAGTAATAATATGCCAGTAGTACTAGGAGGCTTATATACGTATCTGCTATACATTCATGTTTTTACACATTTAGTAGCTTGTGGGCACAGAAATGGGTGCACTTACCAACTAGATGCTGGATTGCAAAGAAATTGAGTCTGCTCAGAAATACTTGACTGTCAGAAGAATTCCTTTGTTTCCAGTATTAATATAGACTCTCTGTATATGAGTTGTACATGATTAACTAATGCTTTTTGTGTAGACATTTTCCTATGGAAGCTTTCAGGAACTTCCTTTTGTCTTCTATGAGAAATACAGAAGGCATTAACTTGTGAGCTTGTGTCTTGCTTATGTGTGTTCACAGGGTAAAAATCCTATGCTCCACTTCTGCTTCATTCGCTTTAAGAGTTATAAAACTTTAAACTTTACATAAAACTTATGTTCTAAAATGTTTTTTGTAATATTTTTTAAAATGAAACTTTGTTTTAGGAGTTCAAGGAAGAATGGGTCTGAGAGGAGAAAAAGGAGATGCTGGTGTGCAAGGTCCCCCTGGTCTTGATGGGTCTGAAGGAATACCTGGTCTACCAGGTATAGAATATGTATATTCCACGTGGAGAGTAGAGATAATACTACCTCAATACTAGCACATAAACTGAGCTCCAGCAGCAGCACTACATTCTCTGTATTAACTCCGAAGCTTTTCTGAGAATTCTGAAACTGAGCAATTTCAGAAGCTGCTACTTCAAAGTCTTAGCAGCTACCACCAAATGATTCTGTTTCCTTCCAAATATAGAATGTTGTTTAGAGTGATAAATAGAAAATAATATTAAGTCCTGAATAATAATAACTTTAAAATCTAAAAGCTGATGAGGCCAATGAATAAAAACTATTATTTGTAAAAGTGAAGAGAAGTTTGAATTCCCAATGTGATTTTTTAAAAAAATTAAGAATTCTAGAATATGAACACTACAATTGTGCACAAAAATATTTCAGCAGCTTTTTTGTTTTTAGATTGATTTTATTTCCCTTTTCAAAGCCTGCCTGTTTGGCTTATATTTTGAAAGTTACGAGATCTTCAGTGAAAAGCAGGCTTAAAAAGAACCTGCATAAATTAAAATCCTACCTAAGCTATTTCACAAAGTTTTGCTCTGCCATTACCAGAACCTTATGCATAGCAATACATACTGACCCTGGAGTGAGACAACGCATGTTTTTTCTAACTAATGCTAATAAAACATCTTTACTTCTCTGTAGTCTATATTTTTGATTCTTTGAGATAACTTATTTCTAAAAAAATGGTGACAATTAGAAACACTTTTAAATTTGTAATCAAAATGGCTCTTACCACGATGGCAATTATCCATGCTATATGTCATTATAGCATCACTGCTATATTCTGTCATTTACATCCTTTGTAGTCATTGCAGTGTAGCCATCACAGGAAAAACTGCAAATGCTCCACTACTCCCTAACTTTTTATAGAAAAAAATAAGACTTCACCTGACTAAATGTTCAAGCATTGCTAGTACCCTGGAATTTAGACATCTGGACATTCTAGATGCAACTAGATCTTGTAGTCATTAAACTAAATGCTAATCTAACTAAATTAAGCTAAGGATAAGTGAGTGGAGGGAAAAAGTGCCTAAGCCATATAAGAAAAAGCTCTTGAGTATACTAGTCATGAGAAGTGCATAACAAGTAAGTAATAATGTGATTGTGACATGCCTAGAAACCAGACTGAACTCAGGGGGACAATGAAAGGAGAGTCCAGTGCATAAATACAAATTCATGATCTTGATCAAAATTTGCAAAAGTATATTTCAGTTGCTGCCACTAAGTGCTGTGGTCACAAACCTTAATTTTAATGTTGACTCGTAAGATGTTTGTCATTTACTTGACTTTCTGACAACAATAATTATAATTTTATCCATGTTTGGGACAAGTGGCTGCATGTTGATTTATAAAATAGTAAGATACCATGTCAAGGTGTGTGGTAGAGGATTCTGTATTCATGACAGCTCTGCCGGGGAGTATCTAAAGCAAACATGTGAAGATGACACTTATTTCTTCATCTTGCAGGTGTCAAAGGATTTATGGGTCTTCCAGGGATTCCTGGAAGACAAGGATTCACAGGTGCACCAGGAAACAAAGGGGACATGGGAATTCCAGGTCATTTTCTGTCAAGCCATATTACAAATTCATAGAGCTGTATAGAAGCATTTGCACAGATCTGAGCAGTTACTGTAAGCACACTACACAATACTTAGACTGGGATTTATTCTTTGCAGTACCTACAGACTTCTCACCACCCCAGCATTTGCTTGATTTGCAGAATGCAGTTCTTCCTCTCTCTAAATGAAATAGAACTACTTTCTTTTATATATTGTTACATGTAAGAACCTCTTTTTAATGTGTTTAGAAATAAAATCACTGGCTGCGTAAATTACTTTAATGAAGAATGAATATCTGAATATACAAACAGTAGTTCAGAAAACATGAGGTGTGATATGCAATTATGATCCTTTTAAGGATGGTATCAGTATCTGTATTTTTCCAGGTCCAAAAGGACAAAAAGGATCTCCAGGCTTTCCAGGACCATCAGGTGACCCTGGTCCACCAGGCTATGGTGGCTTTCCAGGTGACAAAGGAGATCCTGGGTACCCATCCGCTGGGCCTCCAGGAGAACCTGGTCCAAAGGTATAAAGGCAATGGACACATATACATATTATGCAATAAGCAGAGCCTTTGACTAAGAAATAGAACAGCATGCAAGCAAGAGCTGCAGAGTTTGCAGGAGGAGATGATTTATTAGTGATAAGAAATACGAAATTTCTATTGTCATTACTCAGGAGAAATTTTTGAGTTCATTATATTTCATTTGTTCTCGTGGTGCAATAATTACTTATTTGTAAAGATGGAACATCTTGGAAATAACTTTGTTTCTGTAAAAGTTACTAATCCATTAAGAACAAGGACTTGCACTTAAAAAGTCAGCAGTAGGAATACTTGTACCTTAAAAAGTACAGGAAAACATAATCTTAGCAAATGCGAAAGTTATGTATTCTAAAATTGTACTATTGTTTTTTGACAGTCTAGACATATCATTACACAAGATGAATTGTTTTTTTCCTTAGCCATATATATTACATTCAGCTTATATTATGTTCAGTAATATATATGGCTAAGAAAAAAACAGTATCTTTTAAGTTAGGCCAGTTGGATACAATTTTACTCCACATATTCTGCTTGTTGAACAACTAGTAGCCTTTTTACGTATGAGACTATCTGAAATATACGGTTGAGGCTATATACTATATACTATATATATACTATATATACTATACTATACAGGCTATATACTATAGCTCCTGTAATCTGTCTAAATTATCTGTTTATTTTCTGTATTAGCTGGGTAGGCACAATGAGATCACTGTTGTGAAAGTCAGTAGGAATTCAAGGAGGAATATGCATTTCAGTATTTTGTATAGCTGCATATTACGTAAGAAATGTATGCTTGGATCAAAAGAGGAGCTGTTAGAATAAAATTGAAGGGAAGTCTATTTGACGGTGAAACCATCTAAAGACTGAAGTTGGTTTGTGCAGATTAAAGAAAGATCTTTTTTTCTTAGCTATGTGTAAAAGATCAGTGGTATTCCGAGAAGACTTCATGTTAGTCTACTTTGATTTTTGTCTGAAAATCACAATGAACCATGATTACACTTACTTAACCTTTAAAATTACGTATGATTTTTCTATTGTTCAAATATGGAATGTAATGTATTTAATGTAATGTGATTCTTTACCTGTTTGTGTGCAACTGCTATTTCTCAGGGAGATCCAGGCCCCCCAGGAGTTTTGGGCAGCAAAGGAGAAAAAGGATCCCAAGGTCATCCAGGACATAAAGGAGTACCAGGACCACATGGGATCAGAGGGGAAACTGGAGGTGCAGGAATCCCAGGTATGTTTTGTTTCGGAGGAGTGGTGAGGTGTTGACATGCTTCTGGAAGAAGATAACTTCTCAATAAACTACACAGGGTGCCCGTGGAGTGGCACATTTATATTCAACTGCTGTAAACCTAAACAGCTCCTCTGTAGTCAGTGCAACCAGGCTAACTTATGTCAGCTAGAGATCTTTTGCAGCTGTCCAAAGCAGGATTCTCAGACTGGGTCTGGATCTAGTGATAATGCCTTTTCACCTCTCCCACACGCTTTCTTCTCACAGGCAAGCGTGGACCTCCTGGAGATATTGGTGCTAAAGGACGGCAGGGCCGCCCGGGACAACAGGGCATTACAGGCCCTCCTGGTATGGTATATAGCATCTCTCCCAAATCACTGCCCCCTGGTTTGTTATTTTCTTTGTAATGAGGCAGTAGATGTTCTGCTAGAATTTAACTGATGCAGTAGCAGGCTCTGTTTATGTTAGTTCGACGCTTTGTTTACCTTCTCTCGTTCTAGCTAAGGTCTTTAATAGCCTGTTTTCAACGTTATCAGTTCAGCTGAGCCAAGAGGTTTTAATTTTGTTTCACTATTGTAAAGCTTTTTGCCTTTTTTTTTTTTTTTTTTCATTCAGAGGTCTCAAGATGTGATAACCACCCAATTTTAAGAAAGGCTTGTTCCGCCTCCTACAAGAGAATACAAAACTAAGACATAGCTAGATGAGGAGGAGAAGCAAATGAATTGGAGTGGAAAGAGAGGACAGAGTTGTAGTTGTTTGTTAAAGCAATAGAAAAGATCAAACCATTCAAAATATACCTAAGGGAGCGCATGTAAATATGCAACAGAGAGGTATGCAATGCAGTCTTTATTAAAGTCAGTGCCAGTCATTTTCTTCAAAAAGAGCAATGAATGCTCTTATATTCAGAGATCCTCATCAAAATTATGATGTTATGGTTTTGTAGACTTTAGTGAACTTGCACTGACTTATCAGCAGAGTTAGCAAAGATCAGAATCTACTCCCTGTTTAGAGAAACCTTGAATTTATAATAAAGCCAGGAAGAGAAAATACACTGCCTGTATGGATTCCCACTAGCGTGGGTTAAATCAAAGGCAGGGTCCTAAAATGTCTTTGAAAGACAGAAAGTTATTGCCTGTGAAAATAGTGGAGGTGTTAAATCCATTGACGTGCAGTGAGCTCAATAAAAATTATATGCAACTCTTTACCAATGTTTATGTACCAACACAGTTACAGCTGTAAGTAGCTGTCACAGCTTTGAAGTAGCTGAACTAATTAAATTTTAATAGAGGGCACTCATGTCTTCTCCCTTTGAAATGCAAAATAATAGAAGTGAAAATGATATTGTGGTCCATTATAATTCACAGGTGCTGTTGGAGACCCTGGAAAAAATGGACTTGTTGGTGAAAGAGGTAATCAAGGTCAGGATGGTATGCCTGGTCCCCCAGGAGTAAAGGGAGAACCAGGTAACACCAGTGAAATATTTTCATTCTATTTTATGATTGGTTTTTTCCTTAGTTAAACTGACAGGGATTATTTGGGAAGGATTAATAAGGAGCTTCTGTGGAGCCAAAGATAAATTCATAAGTAGAAGGTTTTTCACTTTCACATAATTCACAGGTTTTTTATGTAATCGTACATGCTGTCAACAACCTAAATGCCTATGTCATTGCTCTGTTCTACATGAGATTTCTCATGTCACCTAAAAATGTTAATACTTGCAAGAGCCAAAGTATTGCTGTTAACAGTTCTTATGTGTTTAATCTCAAAGAGATAAAAAGAACCAAAATCTTTTTAAAGGAGTCTCCTCTCTTACATGGCAATAAGATAAAAGGAATCACAGTGTTTACTTACTTGAATAGTGAAGGTTTCCGTGACCTGGCCCTTGGGTTATAAAACCTTTCATTTAAGTGTCACTCCTGATGTCATCAACATCCACAGATAGATTTAGTCCTCCACTGAATTCTCACAGAAAGTGTTTTCATATTTTACATTGAAAATGTTTCTTTGCATATTAGTATAAAGAATATACTGAGAAGGCATTCATAGTAGTTAGTAAGTTTTCTCATACTAAGTTTGAAGTAATCACTGTTAATGTATTTTCTTTTTTAGGTATTTCCATTTCTTCTTCTATTTTTCTTAGCTACTAACTTAAATGCAGGTTTTTCTTCTCGTTTCATTCCTCTGGAAAGAGACAGAGCTTATTATTGTAGAATGTACCTCAGATATGATTGATTAATAAGAATTCCTGCTATAAAGAAAAACTTACAAATTACTTTGTATGTCTGGATAGAAGAAATGAAAATAATCAATAAATTATATTTTACATATAACCAAAATCTACATTTTGATTCAGTGAATTCTGAAGAAATGTATGAAATATTAGACAACTATGATGTTTTCTAATGATTATTCAGGACTTTGAGTATAACGTGATCTAATGTTTCATAGGAGCACCAGGGAGAGGAATCCCTGGCCTTCGAGGTATTCCTGGTCGTAGAGGTGAGTTGTCTTTTCAGAAAGCAAAAGCTTAATTTCTAAATACCAGAATCATCATCTTCATCTTTAACTCGCCTCCTGTTTTTGGATTCTTGAAATGGCACTGAGAGTGTCAGAGGAAATCAAGAGTGGTTCTGTGCTTTTGATCAATGATTTGGTGCTATATATTAAATGTCAAGAGTTCTTGCTTGTAAAGTTAAGACTATTGTAAAAGGGAAAGAAAGAAGCTAATTTCTCTGGTTTTGTGAGGGTGATACATTCTAGAACTTTTGAAATTTTATTTTGATATATACTTTGATTAACAGTATGTTCTAATGAAAAATGAATGCTGCTGAATACTAAGAATACTGTAAGAAAGCTGCAGTGATTGCATTTTAATTTTAATTTTGGTCATCTCCCCTTTTATATTGATGAACAGTTGAGTGAGTGGACTCTTACCATTTTTTAGATTTTGTATTGTATTTCTAGTACTGGTAGAAATCCATTGATTTGCTTTTACTTGGGAAAAAAAAAAATCTCTCTTCATATCCTCCATATGTAGATCATGCACTTTTAAGATCAACTTTAGAATAATATCCTTTTGGAGTTGTCTCTTACTTTGTTGTACTCGATGCTTTCAGCTGGAATTCAGTTTAAAAGGATTTGCCAGTTCTGATATTTAAAGAAGCATTTCTTCTATTTACGCATCAAGAAATATTCACTGCTCTGGTCTTTCTACCCTCCTCTCAAAGTTGTAAATTTGTTCCTTTGTATGAGCAACCTCTGAAGTGGACTTTTTGAAGAAAGGGGGGGGGAGAAAAATTTAAAAAAGAGTGGTATGTACACTATATGTGCTACCTTGCAGTGAGTCCTGTTTTCTCACAACCATTTTGCTTTACAGTAGCAAGGTGGCTTTGGAGACTTCTCCATACTAAAAACAAAGGCTGAATTCCACCTTTGTGGTATAGTAAATGCACATACTCTGTGTAGTCACATCATCTTACCGACTTGACAGCTCTCCCCAAATGTAATGCTTATACTTTGCAGGAATCAAAGGGGACATGGGACTGCCTGGTTTTCCTGGGCCACCAGGTATGAAAGGTCATCAGGGTGATCAAGGACCCATTGGACCTCCTGGCTTAGTAGGGTTGCCTGGATTTCAAGGTGCAACAGGCATGGCAATTACTGGCCAAAAAGGGAACCGAGGTATTGCTGGTGCAGATGGAAGACCAGGTGTGTTTTTATAACTCCTTGTTTATCTGAAATGATACACTGATAATTGAAAGCAGAATTCAGCCTGTCCAGAACTCAAGGTGGAAAGGGGTCTTCCCCTAAGAGAGCTTCATAACTAAACACGTAGTTCCTTTACCAGTTAATGCAATGTTACCATTGCAAACACCACGATGGACTATGCAGTGCAATGTGAATTAAAATAATGCTAAGCTTTGCAGTCCACTCAATTGCATTATTTTGCTTTCTTCCCATGTGGTTTGTAGGGCAGCTGAGATCCAGATTTAAAGAAGTGAGATAGCATGAGTGTGTAGATGTGGTGCTTAGGGACATGGCTTAGTTGTGCACTTGGCAGTGTTAGGTTTACGGTTGGACTCGATGATCTTAAAGGTCTTTTCCAACCTAAATGAGTCTATGATTCTATAATTACAGGCATAACTACAACTGGAGGATATTCAAAAAACTGTAGTGCTAGAGAGTACTGCAAGAACTCAGCTCTGATCTCAGATTAAAATAGCAGGCTAGGAAAAAATGGGTATATTTCCTTGGGAATCACTGAGGCGGTAAACATGAGTACCATTACAGAGTTGTTGAATTTTGTACTGCATTGTACGTAATGTATCTGAAATGCTGCTGGCAGTAGTCTTTACTTACTCTGATATTTCTGTATAGGTGCTCCTGGTTTTCCAGGGCCTCCTGGTCTTTCCACTCCCAGCATGAAAGGAAGCAAAGGTGTTAGAGGGGCAGATGGCATACCAGGGCCAACAGGACCAGCCGGCGACATTGGTCTTCCTGGTCCAAAAGTCAGTGAAAGGAATATTGTTTGTTTCTTACTCCATTGTTAATTTGCTCTTACCATGAAAATAACACCCAAGACAATTTGAAAAAAAAAAAGAAAGAAAAAACAACAACAAAAAACCCAACAAACAAAAAAACCCCACAACAACAAACAACAAACCAAACCAAAAAAAAACAACCCACATCCTCCCCAAAACCCTTATAATAGAGGAAAGTTATTAAAATTTGTATGAAAAGTGGTTTTTATAGACTTAAGTGGACTAAAAAGAAATTATTGTGAATTTCTGGCCTGTCATTTCCTTGGCTGTTCTGTATGGCAGAATATTAAAAATGACATGACTATTTCTAACATGCTCACAAATGGAGCAGATAACTCTAGCTGTAGCACGTTCTGTGAATGTAATGGTTTGAATGTTCTGAGCAAAAAGAAAATGTACTTCATAGCCTGCAAATGCTGCTTCCTGTTTATTATTGGTGTTATCTGATTTCCAGGGAATAGAAGGTCGATCAGGTTATCCTGGTGCTAGAGGGGACCCTGGATTTCTTGGATTCCCAGGTGTAAAAGGTATTCATATATTTGTTACATACACTTCTGTGTGCCAAATACTATTATAATGCAACATGTAAATGATTGTATTTGTGTAATAGTACCAGGTGTGGTCCTAGAGACACGAAGTTTTTCTATCAAGAGCAGCGTGTAGGTCAGCTATAAATGAAAGCATTCACTAAGAGAGCATTTTCTTTGAGTTAGATGCTATGGATATGTCCAAACTGATGTTAAAGTGAGAAAAGGCTGAAACTTCAATGGCCTCCATTCCAGGCAAATTCAAAACAAGTTTGTCGTTAGTGACTAATAACATGTAAGGACTTTGGGAGTGAATCTGCTAATTAGAAATGCCACACCACTGCTAGAAGATGGCAACTTCTTAGCTATAGAACTCAAGGGCATTTAATCATAATTACAGTGCAGATCACTGGATCCTCTGTATGCTGTAAGAATAGTCCCAATTATATTCTAATTTATCAGTTTATCGGCAGACGAACTGTTAAATGTAATGGCTTCATTAATTTCATATTCCTGAGAGTTAGTTGGATCAGCAGCTGGCTAAAAATCCTTTTAATTTAGACATTTTTCTAGTGATTTAAATCTGATATAGGTCTGCATTACTCCAGTGTTCTCATTTTTTCAATTGTATGATTTACAGTGACACACAATTCTCATTACCTGTTTAGCCTACTGGTTTGCATTCCATGCCAATTTTTGTGTATTTTAAATTTGTTCTAATTTGAAAAGTCACCATACAAACAGTAATTATACTTTCTTAAGCTCTCATTTCATGGCATAATCAGTCAAATCTCCTGCCTTGATGATAAAATTTATTTTTTTTTTTATTTCCAGTAGAGCTGTGGAGAGTAATCTGAATGTAACCTCATATTTTGCACAGTGAAAAGAATTGCTTATTAAGTTTCAAACACTGGAAAAAGTATACAACCCTCCTAACAGCTGTCAGCATAACTGACAGTAGGGTTTAAAGGGAGTTAAACTGCACAGCATCACTGAAGGCAGCACTTACCCTGCAAACTCAGTGACAAAAACATGGAAGATAAAAAGGACATAGTCTAAAGTTGAGATTTTAGGCTAGGTTTATGAGACCAGTCACTGTATGAAGGTAGGCATGGAAACATCTTCTTATAAACTGAGTGCAATTGGCCTATAAATTATACAGTAACAGCAGAGAGGTAGAAGTCCACTTTTGCATTTCAAATGAGTCTACAGGTTGTGTTACTCCCTGGGAAGGTTGCGTGGATCATGCAGGACTTAAATAAGCCTCTGAAACTTTTGGCATTCTAAACCAGACAGACTTATCTTCAATGTTTTGGGTTTTTTTTTTTAGGAGAAAAGGGTAATCAAGGACCCCCTGGACCACAAGGTGCAGAAGGGCCAAGGGGACCAAAGGGCCAGCATGGTAACCAACCCTTCTCATTCTAATACCAGCTGACTTAGGATGATTTCTTTGTTTTGTTTTGTAGTTTGTATATATATATAAATAATATAATCTCTTCATTATATTTTTGCTGCTAGGTCCACCTGGAGTCCCTGGGAGAATATTCTCCATCCCAGGAAGCAAGGGTCCTCCTGGACTGCCAGGAATCCCAGGAGCACCAGGTGATCAAGGAATTCAAGGGATTCCTGGACTACAAGGTAGTTTATATTTTTATATATGTTTGTGTGTGCTGCTTAGTGGAACTTTTTGGTTTGGTGGAAAAACATGCTTCTGCATAGAAAATTGATGTGTCTTTAAAAACACCTCTCTGTATTTAAAAATAGCTCTTTGTACCTTGTTAACAACCTTATATTTATAACCTGTCCCATTCCACCTGCCCTCCGCCCTCACAGTCAGTGAGTGAGTAAATTTCTCCCTCAACATAAGTCTAAGCAAAATAATGGAATAAAAAGTAAACTTGGATCAAAACGTTCACCATTTTCATACAGCCAGAACCATGCTCAGGATGTTTGTCGTTTGGGCGGGGGGGGAAGTTGCCACATGTAATAGAAGTACGCTAGATGGGCTATGAAGTGATTGTGTCTGTCATAGTCTGGGGGTGGGAAGGTAAAGCAGAAGCTGGCTACTTCTCCATTGGCATGAGAAGTGAAGCCTGCTGTGGCTGTGAGGAACAAGGCAGCAAGGAGCAGGTAGGATAAGGTGGATGCGCAGTGGATACTTGGCCACCCTTCTCAATACCACAGCTATTCACCCCAGGAAGGCAGCTCTGCAGGGCGGCAGGCTTGGCACTGACAGTTGCCTCCAGCACAAAGCAGGCACTAAAGAATTATTCTTTTACACTTTCCTTAAAGTTGTTTTATAAAGGAACTTCATTATTTATAGAATTACAAACCGTGACCAAGATGATTATGGCCTGTTACTATATTTTTGAAATATTTCTATTGTATGACACATGCTAAAAGAAGAAGCTATTTGCTTTCATTTCTGTAAATATTTCTTATGAGAATAATATCTTTCTGCAATACATTCTATATTCTCTTGTAATCTTCTTGATAGGAAATACGGTGACAGTAACACTACAGTCTCAAAACTTAGTAAATTCATGCTGATGTTTTTATTCCAACACAGCTGTATTTACATGGGGATTTTAACTTTAGTCATTAACAGTTATTATCATCTAGGATAACTACTGCTATATGATTCTGTTTTTTTCTTGATTACAATTTAGGACCTAAAGGAGTAAAAGGTTTACCAGGAAGTTTTGGTCATCCGGGTCACCCAGGACTGCCTGGTCTAAAAGGAGACAGAGGATTTCCAGGACAAAGAGGTGCAGGAAAGCAGACAACCCTGTTTGACTGCTAGTACTGAATTTACAGATAAACTGTATTCTTGGTATCTGTATAGCCTTCTTCTTGCATGTATTGAGATTCTGTAATGTTTACAGTAGCTTTAGGGCCACAAGCACATGTAAGCACATTCTTAGCTTTTAACAGGTGCATGTTCACAACTGAAATAATAATTTACAAAAATATGCCTTGACTGTGTCCTCTGTTAGTAATCACATTTATTTATCCACTTGAAATCCCTAGGTATCACTGTGCCTTTTTATGACATCAAAATAGAACTAAATATTTTTATTTAGTCACCATAAAACATTTTTCCTTTACAACTTTTTGGTAAAAATGGCCATGGTTCTTTAAAATACCTCACTATTCCATGAAACTATGCAATGTAAAGCTACCTGAGCTGGGTCTGAAGGAGGTAATATATCTAGCAACAAATACTACCAATTTTCAAGCTGTATCTTCTTATTGATAAATTTTTTGTTAGTTTTCAAGTGGTTCCATTAATTTAAATGAAGTAAAAATTCAAACAAAATTACAATATTTGCAGTCATATTTCTTTCCCCTCCACAGGACAACCTGGACTGATTGGCTTTCCAGGTCTCCAGGGGTTACCTGGCTCACCAGGTACTGCCATTGCTGGTCCAACAAGAAGAGGCTTTATCTTTACCCGGCATAGTCAATCAACAAAGAGTCCTTCATGTCCACATGGGACATCGCAGATCTATGTTGGCTATTCGCTGCTTTTTGTACAAGGAAATGAACGAGCACATGGACAAGATCTTGGTACTGTACTGGTAAAAATATTCAGATCATTTTCTTTAGAGTCCAGTAATGCTAAGTTGTCATGAAACCACCTTCACAGTAAGTGTCCAAGATGAACATTGGTTTCAACTGTCAGTTTCCAGAGCGGTCTGCTGCTCTGAGTCAATTCAGGAATTGTGGCTTGAAAGACACCTTTCTTTCCTGCACTCCTGTATTCCCTTTTTCCTATCCTTAGACATTTTTGAGGGGGAATTAAGTTACTTATGGAGAGATGTCTAGTATAAATGTTCACATCTGCACAGCTGTGACAGTAATAACACAGGATCTGAGAGAGAACCTTGCTTTTTTGGAGAGCAAATGGCATGCTTTAGACTGTCAAAAATGGGACCAGAAGCTTTTGTTTAAGCAGCTGAATCCCTGCCACTGTGTCAAGGACTGATACCATTCAAGAAGATATTAATATTTTAACAGATTTTGTTCTTAGCCCTTATTTTTATATACATATTTATATATATACCATAAGCATTTTGCTTTCAGACACTTTTGTGTCAGACACTTTGCTTTTGTACAGACACTTCTCTCTTTATAGTTACCAACTGTTTTAATTCTCACTACAGGAGATTGGATGCCATCATGTGTCTCTTCTGTTTGCTGCATTAAATATAATCTCCTATCTATCACAAACCTCTCCTCTTTTGTCTTTTAGGAACAGCTGGTAGCTGCTTGCAGAGATTTACCACCATGCCATTCTTATTCTGTAACACCAATGATGTTTGTAGTTTTGCTTCCCGCAATGACTATTCATACTGGCTGTCGACTGCAGCAGTAATGCCAGTAGACATGGCACCGATTTCTGGCAGGGCACTAGAGCCCCACATAAGCAGGTAAGAGTATAAGAATTTTAGCTCTTCTGGCCTGGAACCACAAAGACATCATAAATTGTTTTGAACGGCAAATCTTAGGCAAGGACCTGCCCATCTCAGCCACTGCAAGACCTGTTTTTAACCACCTGATTTTTGATTACTCATCTGAATATGTCAGATCTTCAGTGATACTCTAAGAAAAGTTAGATTAAAGCTAGGGTCCCACCACAGGGCTTAATCTGCATAGCTGACCTAAGAAGATGGCACACAATCCTACTGATTTCAGTGATATTTTTTTAAAAGCCTATTGTTGTGTATATCAGAAGCAGACTAATAGGAAATAAAGACATCTTCATTATTTGGAATACAGTACAAATCAAGTTCTGCTTTAATTGTGTGTGATACATTGACTGTAGTTGGTGAAGAACGTTGTAAATTGGGGCTGAAGGTTCTCTGCTATGAAACACCCTTATGCAAATGTGGCCCTTTCTAGTTGCTTTAGAACATCTGAGAAGGATGAAGAGCATCTTAAGAGGAAAAGCTCTCAAAGCATGAAAGATCAAGAGTAGCAAAATCAAAGATGGGAGGGAAGCTTTGCCCTCTGTCTTCTAGCCTGTCCTACACAGTTGCAATCTAGTAGCTCAGCTTCATACTGTCTTCACTTAGGAAATAAAGATTACTTTCTCTAATCTTAGCAAATAAAGGTACAGAACTTTGATCTAAACCAAAGTAGTTAGCACATGAATAAGGTAAAATTTAGCTTGTTACTTCAGTAAAGGCAAAATGAGGAAGCTCAGATGTTCTGGGACTAATTGCCATCTTACACCAATTTTTGTCTGGTGTTACTAGTAGAGATTGTAAAGCAATTGCAAAGCAAGGAATTTGGGTTACCTTAAACAGAGAAAACGTGTGTGAGTTGTAACATTTATAGTAAGCTCTGCCGTTAGGTAGCTACTATCCTAGAAGACACATTTTTTTATCTGCTTTCATGTTTTCCCTTGTATCTGCACTGAATGCATGTGCATTTCTTCTTACAGATGTGTTGTCTGTGAAGGAGCTGCAATGGTAATAGCAGTTCACAGCCAAACAACTGTAGTTCCTGCATGTCCAGAAGGCTGGATATCTCTCTGGAAGGGTTTTTCTTTTGTTATGGTAAGGATATAAAGACTTGAATTATTAATTTTATGTCCTCTCATTTTCATTCGTGTTTTCATCTGCTCATAGCTCATTTGTTTCTTAATAATTGTTAAATTCCTTTTCTTTTTCCTTTGCAAAAAGGTAGACAATATTTCTACTAACTCTTATTCAATGCCAGAAGCATTGATCAGAGACACTGATCTGTCCTCAAAAATAGGTGGCAGGAGGAAAAGGAGAAAAGATGAAGGGAGAACTATAGGATTTTAGTCTGACAAAAATAACTGCATGCTCTCGTTTTGATGTGTCCTGCTAAGATCTAGGCAACGGGTTTGGGGAGTAGAGTGGTTAAACTGGTCCTGAACACAAATACCCAGAAATAACTGACCCACTTCCATGCCAGGCAGTTCTTTTATAAATCATATCTTGGGGCTGAACTCCACACAAAGCTAAAACGAAACAAATGCAGAACACTGTCTACAAAAGACTGCCTCAGCAATTTTGATGCCATAACGAGATATGAGTGAAGAAACTGGTTATGGGAACAAGGGTGTATCTATACTAGGGACGTAGCACTTCATCTTTGTTATCCATGCCTGTGGGATGTCATAGGGATGCCAGCAAATGAGGGTAAAAGACAGAATTAAAAAACCCTCTTTTTTGCGTGATGTAAAGTCCTTTTAGGTCTAGTGTGAAATTTGTTGTCTTTCCTGGGATTTGACTCTAAGTAGTAATAATAATCTTGGAAAAGAATGAGAGAATTTTTGCAGCATCTGGTTAAAATAGTTTGCTTGTTTCCAACATCAGCAAATTTACATTATATTTTCTAGCCAATTTTCTACCATCATGAATTATTTTAGAGCTATTTCTACAATCATTTACTAACATCAGAGAAGGAAAAGGCCTTTTTTGCTTTTTGTCTTTGGAGAACCAATCAATGAAGCAAAAAATACGAACCCACAAAACAGGGGATTTGGCTTTGTAATTCAGTTATTGTAGTCCCCAACTGGACAGAAGCCAGCTACTGTCTAGTCTTTTTACTGGTTACAGTTTCATGCCTTTTCATGGAGCAGAAAAGGGCCTTTGCAGGGACTTGAGAAATACCATAACTGTGCCTGAATTTTCATAAAGCTTCTGTGCTTCATTGTAAGTCTGATAAAACGAATCTGTGTTCATTTTGTTTTGTCCGAGATATACCACAGAACATATAGTATGTTTTAGAAAGAGATTTTTTTTTTGCCTGCAGTTTACTAAAAGCTGATGGACAAGTTCTCATAAAAAATGTATTGGTGGTTACAGTATACAAGTGCCGGCTCAGAAGCTTCTGGCCAAGCACTGGCATCTCCTGGATCTTGCTTGGAAGAATTTCGAGCCATCCCATTCATAGAGTGCCATGGCAGGGGGACATGCAACTACTACACAAATTCCTACAGTTTCTGGTTGGCATCATTAAATCCAAGAAGAATGTTCAGGTAAACTGTACTTCCCTGCATTGATACGCATCGCATCCATGCCGCAAGTGCCCAAGGAGACAATAAGTGCCTCCATAACATGTGGGGGCACCCGTAGCAATTCCCCTCAGTTTAGACATCCCTCTTTGTTAGGTTCAGGGCCATTCTGTAGTACAAGTATGCCTTAAGTGAACCAAGGATTTCAATGTTATAAGTAATTCCATATCCAAAGTTTCATGGTCTCTCCCTGTTTTTTAAAGAAAGTAAATGTTTGTTTTATTTCTTTTAGGAAACCTCTGCCACAGACTTTGAAAGCAGGAGAACTAGAAAATATCATCAGCCGTTGTCAGGTCTGCATGAAGAGACCAGTCTAAACAGCGGCCACTCTTGACGGAACCTGAAACTCTGCTTTTATTTCAAAGAATTGCCTAACTCTGAAGAGCTATAATTTATTAAAGTCCAACTGCACCTGGAAAGAAAATTATAAATTGCCAGTGCAGCACTGTGGTGAGGTAGGGCAACAGTTTGACTTCTGTCTTTGGCAAATGACAAAGCACTTTGTTGGAGAAAGCTTGTAATGGCAGTCTGCAGGGGCTTCTGCTCAGCTATGTCATTTCTAAGCTGCATCTTCATGATAAAATTAGGGCATCGCCAGATCTTTAATGAAAGATGTTAATGCTGCCTTGTGTCATGTGCTTTTCAAACCTCAAAACAAACTAAATGCTCTAATATCAGCTTACATATGTTCAGTGTTCAAAATGGATATAATTTTTATAAGATGAAAATCTGGCACTTAAGAGAGATGGGTTCAATGGGAAGTATTTTCAGTGCGCTCTTAAATATATAATGATTCATTTAGGGTTGTTTTGATTTGGTTTTCTTGTCTAATAAACAAGTATCTCCCCACTTACCTCACCCTTCCTCTGGCTGGCAAACAAGAATACAATCTTTTTTGTATCACTGCAATAATAATGGTTCTTGACTAGCCAGAAAGGGAGCTACACCATGCACTGGGCAGACAGTACAGTGGTGACATGCACTAGCTGTGTTCTCCAGAGTGACCATGGCTAAGGGCTGACTAATTGAAAGTGTTGGAAAGTTTTCATTGGATTCCATGACTTTTGACATAGATCATGAGACCTTTTAAATTCTTCAAAAGCTGACAGTATTGGGCCTCTATTATGATCACATGCTTTTGTCTCTACTGAAGAACAACTATTTACCATATCATAATTTGGGATTTTGATGGAATTAACAATTACTGTATGGCTCAAGGGCTCCCATGGCATTATCAGGTTATCACACACAAATTATATTCTGTATTTAAATATTTATCACACATTTCTGCAAATGAAACAGTTTACTCCATCCAAAATTTTTAAAAAAGACTGATATTTAAATTGTACCATCTAAGCACTGACTTATACAAGAGAATCCAACTGTAAATGGACATAAATACTTGAAAAGCACTTTCATTTACTCATATAACTTATATAAAATGGTAGCTCTGAGGGGTTGTTTTTAATATTTATAACATTGCACTTGCAAGGCTATTTAAAATTGTAATGTTAACATTTAAAATGTTAATATTTTTTTAATACTTGCACAATCTATCAGAATTCCAGTATTTAGTGTTATAGAAGAAGCCTACTTCATCTGAATAGTTCTGTAAATGCATCATTTTAAATGTAGGGTCTAGCAATTCATTGAAATAACCAAGATTTCTCATTTAGAAGTTTTTTAAGCCAGTGAAATTTTATATTGTTTCTGTTAAAATACTCGCATTATGTTCGTCTGACTGTTTGAATTTTCAGTGTTAACCTAACTAAGAAAAAGTTTTGTCTGTGTTTCATGCCAGTATCTTCTGATGGAGCTAACGTGAAGATACCATTTACATGAACTGAATGGATATTTTAAAATTATTGTTTGCTTGAACAGTCATAGTACTTCTGTTTGCAAGGTATAATTGTGAATTGGCAGGTTTTTATGAAGAATCTGTATGCAGATGCACTACTGATAAGAAGGTATTCATGTCAAGTTAATATTTAGTCTTCCATTTGAACCAGGTTTGGGGTTGAGGGTGTTTTCCTTAAAACAATCACATATTAGATTTTTCCATAAACTCTGAAGTTTGCTTTAAATACTCAAAGATAAAATTCACACCCGTTGTTTGTTAGGTTGATGGGGCTTTGCTGGTGTTTGGTGTTTTTTTTTTTTTTGATTGAGGCTCATTACAGTCACCAAAGGCATTGTATGTGGTATACAATTGATGACTGTGGAGACCCTCGCATAAAACTTGCTAGTAAAATGCAGAATGTAAGTACCTGAGGTTGTCTAATGGAAATAGTTGGCAGAGGATAATGTGTAAGGAGAAGGGAATGGATTGTGGTTTTAAAGTCCAAAGGTAAGTTACAAAGAGTTATGTTTCATAGTATAGTGCATAACTGGATGTTATGCCTTGTTCCCAGTTTTGGATTCTGCTGCTCACTTTTTGTGTGGCCAACAAGTTACTAAAGGAAGATTTTCATAAATAGCTTTAGATTTTGAGTGCTCAAACTCAGTCTGTCTTTCAAAAGCATGAAACACAACTGCAGGATCACACATGTTCATCAAGCCCAGCATAATACAAGGTGGACACTGAAAAGCAAAGAAAAACTTGAAAAGTTGATCTTAATTTCTCTCTGCAGATGCAAATCATTTTACTTGCCTACTGCTAGTGATTATTGTGAGAATTAGTTAACTCCTATCTGTAAACGCTTTGAGACCCTTAACTGGAAAGTGCTGCCGAGGTGCAAGGTGTTAATATATTGTATTGAAAGAATGGAAGCATGAGAACTCAGAAATAATGAGCAATCAATGGGCGGGGGGCGGGGCGGGGGAGAGGAAAGCAAACCTTCTGCTAAATACAGCCAAATAAAAATATTTTGACTAAATAAAAGACCCATTTCACTTGGTTGTTTTTGTTCTTCCCAGTGCTAATGATCTTTTCCACTACCTATGCATAAAATAATTTACCAAAAAAAAAAAAGTGTCATCTGATCGAAAGACAGTAGGTGGAGTTTGCCCTCCGAAAGACGCTCACCCTCTCCTACGTGGACTACACTAGAAGTCCAGCATTCCAGAGTAGATACCCAAGCTGGATGTCTGCACACTCTCTTGCTTCCTAGACATATTTCTACATAGGATACTGTGATGGGCTGGTGACAGACAGTGGTTTTGATCTGGAATAACTGAGCCATGTTCTTCTCTTCTACCACATTCATTCATACTTTCTGCTGGATTCATATCCATGAAGCACAGGTGGGTACCAAGTTGCTGTTGACAGAAATAGTATGAGAGGAAGGGTTGTGATTACAGTGAGGAAAAGCTAGGAAGATGAGGAAGGCTGGCTGATGGGGCCCCAAGCGCACCAGGAACCCCAGAGTGCTCTGCCCTCCTTGCATCCTCAGTACACAGGTCCAGGTGCTGCATCCAAAGACCATCCCAGGCCTTACCTGAGCTCTGCTGTGCGTAGGCTTGTGCCCAGCCTCTTCCCCTGCTGCTCCCAACTTCTTCACTTGTCTTTGACCTGGGATCATTTGCTGGATGGTCAGCAGAACCTTTTAATGTCATCACCCCAGTTCTGTGTTGCTGTGCCCAGTATGGCGGGACTGTGCCCCTGTTGGGAGAGATCACTGCCCTGCCTAGGCTGGGGTTGTCTTCCTCCGTGGAAGGAAGCCACTCTTGCAGATTGCTGACAAACACTCACAGCTTGCCAAGGGAACCACTGTAACTGCAGGTTCAAGAGAGGAAAGGACTGGCCACCACCTGTAAAGACTGGAAAAGAGTAGGACTTGTAGTGTTTCCTCAGACAGAAGACAGTACGCAGAGGTATTCTTTAAGTGCACACAGACAGACAAACAAGTAGATTGTGTGCAGCAGAAATAAAAGGGCACACCTAAAATTATCAAGATTTCAGAGTGAAAATAAGGAAGACATATCTGAAAGCCAAACTGATAGAACAGTGTGGTATGCAACACTCTTAAGAATGGCCTTTTAAATCACTGAACAAAAGAAAATCAAGGATGTCTGCAGAGAGATCTGAAAACTGTCAAAAGAAAATTATTGGTGCTAGAACTTCTACACAATGAAAAAATGGAAAGAGCATCCTGAAAGGGATGAGGGTACAGCTAGGGTACAGCCTGATGCAATTATTTTTGAGATTTGACAGAATACATGGGGCCTGGACAGGCTTATGTAGTCATGATCTACTACTGGTAATTCATAACATGATACTACACTAGGGCTCTTCTGGAGAATTTCCTGTGGATTAGAAGAACTCAAGTGACTAGTCTGTGGCCACTTTTATTGTGTGACCACTCAATTTACGAACAACAGTCATATATTCAATGGAATAAAAATAGTTACATAATTGATCTCAACATAAAATTATATATGGGGAATCATGGGAGACAGACCATATTTCTAGCATGCTTCAAGAGCCAGTTTTTAGACTACCTATCGATAGGTTGTAAATCTTAGAGCTTGGAGAAGTGGTAGAACTGAAGAGGACTCTTGTACAGAGTGACCGGGATTGCCTGCTAAGATGTGCTCAGACCAACAATTTTTGTTTCAAGGAGGCTAAATGTAAGATCACATATCTAAAGGTAAATAATGTATGAATCTTGATGTTATACAACTTTTATTTTTATCTGTAAGAGATCATATTTCAGACCACTTGTGTCTGTAAACAGTGCTGTTGGTATTTGTAAGGAACTGAATTAGCAAGTTGTGGACCTTGGATCAATATACGCTTCAGTAGTTCTGGCATCACTACTCCTTTTGACCTCCAAAACGTTACTGTGACCATAAATTATAGGGAAAGCTCAGAGGCTGCTTTCCTCTCTTTAAAAAATTATCTGCTATATATAATAGAATTTTTCATTTTATTTTTCTGTATGGAATTGGAAAATTGATCGTTACCCACACCACAGGAAAACAGCTGCTCTTAGGCAGCCTGTGCTGTGAGCGAGAGCCAGTTTCAGGAAGGGTTACCTAATAGGGGCCCTTGGAAGGGTTCTACCAATGTAAGGAGTTGGTGCTCTGCCTGTCAGTGTTGACCCGCAAGCTGGCTTTAAGTGGGGCAGGAAATGGATGGCTGTGTCAACCACATTTGCTGGCAAATTTTATGTAATAACGGGGTGGTGATTGACGTAGAAGAGACACCGTTCAACAGGACAGCCTTTGTGAACTTTACGAAGCAGTAAGATGTAAAGCTTAATGAGCAGCTGCAGTTTTTGAAGTGTGCAGTTGCTGTTGTGTGGTAGCTAGGTGACTACCGATCTTTCAGAAGACGTGCCCTAAAGTGACTGGCCTTTTGCCCGTGCACATGAGA